TTACTGCAGTCGTACCACGATCTGTTAAGATAATTATCATGTAACTAATACTTGAAAATAAAAAGTGTATATATATTATCAATAAAAATAACTTTATTTCATCAATAAAAATTATTTTAATTTTTGGAATCTTATTAAAATAATTTAAAAAAAAAAATATATATATATATATATATATATACAAAGTTGTGATAATGTTACCTTTGATCTTTCGTTTGGCAGTCTCTGGACGTAATGAAGCTATCATTTCTTTTAATTCGCCACACTCAATAAGCAAAGCTTCGACCTAATATTAATAGAATTATTTTATACTTAAAATATTAACGAGAAAAATTTATTTTTGTAAGTAAGCTTTTTTTGAATGAAAATAAATATTAAGTTATTAAGTATCATCATACAGAAAGCATATTTATAACGATATAGTATATCAATAATTTAACATGAATACATAATAAGAAATCATTTCCGTACTTGATTATCTTTATAAGTCAACATTTCTTGTGATAGTCTCACAAGTGTCCGCAAACCATGTATATCAGCGATCTCGTCCACGTCACATCGGACCACAGCGGGAAAAAGATCCTCGATTTCTTCGTCTGTTAAAGACGAAGCATTTACGGATAATAACCGATCCCAGTCGGTGCGAACCATTTTTTCGCGATATAGTAATCAAGCAATGAATCATGCAACCCTCATCTGCATACTATCTCGGACATTTTCCTTCGATTTGACATACTACAGTAAACAGTTTACAAACATTACCATGATGGAAGCAGAGAAAAATCTGAGAGAGGACATGACGGCCCAAAATCTGTAACCGTAAAATGTTGTCGCGTAGTACTGCCCTCTGAAAAAGTGGATGTAAACTACAAAGCAAGGTCCACTTTTCTGAGGATACATCCACTTTTCAAGGCTGCAGATGATAAATCGATTTAGTTTTGGGCCGTCATGTCCTCTCTCAGGTTTCTCTCTGATATATACTTACAGACGATAATATACAGGGTGAATTATCCTAGAATCACTAATCACAGTGGAGTTGTAATAACACAGAAGATCCATCAGAAGACTTGAAAAGATTGGTGTGTTGTGTTGCATATCAAAATTGTTTACATAATTGTGTAAGTACTGTGTAAGTATTGTTCCACATGCATACAAAGAGATGTTAATATATAGTGAGATCAGAATCAAGATGTAAGGTCCTTTTACATCATGATCAGAACACGTTAATCAACTGCCCGTATTCATAGTCAGGGTCAGGCCTTATATTTAAGGCTTCCTGTTTTACACAATTATGATGTTTTATTTTATCCTTGTTCTGAATATTATAGAAAGTATAAAATGAAATATCATGCACATATTGTGGCAAAATGGAACGCATCTTCTGTGAGATACTCTTTGTTTTTTAAAAGCACAATTACATCATACATAATCTTTAAAAAAAGAACGTTTTTTTTTATATATAATATTGTTATTTTTTTATTTTTAATATGTAACTATTACTCGTATTCATAGTTTTATACTTAAGGCTTCCTTAAGTTCATCTTTAGAGGTTCTGTAGTCAATAAAATAATCGTAGAGCACTTAAAGATAAATTTAAGGAAGTCTTAAATGTAAGACTTGACTGAAAACACGAGATATACATTTTATATCTTTTATATCTGTAAGATATACATTTTATATCTTTTATATCTGTATTTTAACTGTATAACTCTTTATTGTGTAACTCTTTATTTTAAATTTATTGCTACATACTTTATATTATATGCAATTTTATTTTCTTATTTTTTAGAAAAATGGTTGTAAGGCAATATGTAGAGGAGCTTAAATATTTGGAGAAAATTAATGAATGTTGTTGGAGAATCAAGAAAGGCTTTCAACCTAACATGAAGGTAATTTTTTTTCTATTATATGTATATGTAAAATATAAGAATAAAATAGATATTCAGAAACATATGTATATAGCACTTTCATGATGTTTTTAATATTACATGTTTTTATATAAACAAATTATGATTAAAGGTTGAAGGAGTGTTTTATGTAAATAACACATTGGAGCGATTAATGTTTGATGAGTTGCGCAATGCATGTCGGCCAGGTGCAGTTGGAGGCTTCCTTCCTGGGATGAAACAGATTGCTAATGTGGCTGCTTTACCTGGTATTGTATGGAGGTCTGTCGGATTACCAGATGTACACTCTGGATATGGCTTTGCTATTGGTAAAGTATATATCTTTCATTTTCTTATATTTTTTTCGAACACATGAATTTAAAATAATCTGTAATAATTGACTATAAAAATGAATGAAATAACAAAATATGAATGAGTATATTGCATTTAGGTAATATGGCGGCATTTGATATGGATGATCCAAAATCAATTGTATCACCTGGTGGTGTAGGCTTTGATATTAATTGTGGTGTTCGTTTATTACGAACAAATTTATTCGAGAGGGACGTCTTACCAGTAAAAGTAATACCATTTTTTTCTTAATAATTGTTTTTATAATTTTATGCATTATAAAATAATAATAATGTATATATCTGTGCTATATAATTTATATAATCTAACTTTTTTTTTCTAGGAACAACTTGCGCAAAGTATGTTTGATCACATTCCAGTTGGTGTTGGATCTAAAGGAATTATACCAATGAATGCACGGGATTTAGAGGAAGCATTGGAAATGGGAATGGATTGGTCTTTGAGGGAAGGTAAGAGAAAAAAATATGAAACAAAAGTTATTGATGAAATAAAAATATATATTAAATAATAAAAGTACTCATATAAAATATATTTAGGTTACATTTGGGCTGAAGATAAAGAACATTGTGAAGAATATGGAAGAATGCTTAACGCTGATCCATCAAAAGTATCAATGAGAGCTAAGAAACGCGGACTTCCTCAAGTATGACATAATAGATATCTATAAAATCATATTTTTTAATATTTGCATAATTTTTTCTAGTAAATATATTTTGTTGAATTTTAATATGGGAGATTTTGAGATTGCTGATTACAAATCTGAAGTCAAAATTTAAAGAATTAAAAAATTAAAATTCCGGTGACAATCTATATATATTGTATTTGGATTATCTCGGCATATAAACTACCATAATTATGTAAAACCATAAATTGTATCAAAATTCAGCTGAAAAGAATAGAATTCTACATCAATGACGCAAATTTTTAATATAAAATTTCAGCCAAATATATTGCCGGGTACTAATGATATCCGGTCAAATATTAAAAAAGTGCCAAAAAATTTCCTGATATTGGATGCATCTCTAATATTTATTACAAATAATTTTATATTAGTTAGGTACATTAGGAGCTGGAAACCATTACGCAGAAATTCAAGTAGTAGATGAAATATATGATAAATGGGCTGCATGTAAAATGGGTATTGAAGAAAAAGGACAAATTTGTGTTATGATCCATTCGGGAAGCAGAGGATTTGGTCATCAAGTTGCTACAGGTTATACATTATACATGTGATTTTGTTTCTCTTTCTCTTTATATATTATATTTAGAAACTATTAAAAAATTGTTCTATACAACAAAGTAACATTTCAGATGCACTTGTACAAATGGAAAAAGCTATGAAACGTGACAATATTGAAACTAATGACAGGCAACTTGCATGTGCTCATATTAAATCTCAAGAAGGTCAAGATTATTTAAAAGCAATGGCAGCTGCTGCTAATTTTGCTTGGGTTAATAGAAGTTCTATGACATTCCTTAGCAGACAGGTACCTTAAAGAAATACATGTATATAAATACTAATTAACAGAAATACAAAAGAATACAAAATGTATATATTTTAATAGGCATTTGCAAAACAATTCAATTCGTCTCCCGACGATTTAGATATGCATGTTATTTATGATGTGTCTCATAATATTGCCAAAATAGAAGAACATATAGTTGAAGGAAAACAAAAGACACTTTTAGTTCATAGAAAGGTAAGTGTTTATGACATATATTACTGTGAATGATAGTTTAATTTTGATATTGATGTAAATATAACAATTCTTATCAAATGTATGTAAATGTATTTTACTTGAAGGGATCAACAAGAGCCTTTCCACCACACCATCCTTTGATTCCTGTAGATTATCAGTTAACAGGTCAACCAGTTTTAATCGGTGGTACAATGGGTACATGCAGTTATGTTTTGACTGGGACAGAACAGGGTATGAAAGAAACATTTGGATCAACATGTCATGGTGCCGTAAGTGTAGAATTTATTAATTTTTATATACATATATGTCATTTATATCAATGTAACTAATTTTACAAATAACTTCATACAAATAATATATTTATATTACGAAGAGGGAAAATATGAAAATTATCCCTATATACAAAAAATATATATATATGTACAGGGCCGTGCTCTTTCAAGAGCAAAGTCACGTAGAAACTTGGATTATATGCAAGTTTTGGAAAAATTAGAACAATTAGGTATATCTATTCGAGTTGCTTCACCAAAATTGGTCATGGAAGAAGCACCAGAATCCTATAAAAATGTAACGGACGTTGTTAATACTTGTCACGCAGCTGGAATTTCCAAGAAATGTATCAAACTGCGACCAATCGCTGTTATTAAAGGATAATTTCCACAAGAAAATATTTTGACTGTGTTTTTATGATAGCGTAAAACAAATTAGAATTAAGATATCAATGAATAAAGCTTAAATTATATGTAAAATTATTTATATAATTTTCCATTTTTATAAATTATATTAAATACACTTCACGATATAAAAATTATATTAATATATTGATATTACATTAGCTTTCTTATTCAATAATAAAATAATGCTTAATGTATAAGTTCATTGTATCTAATGATATTATAAGATATTTATACATGTATGTATTATTAATGTAGTTACTAAAATAAATCAAAATTATTTATGTTTAAAGTTATTTATAATTACGTATGTTATATCATGAACTATACATAACAGGGTAAGGGAAAAAAAAGAAGAGATAACAAAATTTTTAAAAATATTTCGTTAGCGATTTATTAGAGAAAATGTACAATTACCTATTTTCGTCATAAGAAAGCTATATTAGACTAATTCGTTGACTTTACACAGGAATTAAAAATTCGCAGCATTATATTTAACAAATCCTCCACTGACTAGAGAAAATAATACAGGAAAGATACACGAAGAAAAGATAGTCCCGTGTTTTTACTCGCAAGTAGATAATGGAAGCGAACCCATCACCATAAATAGTATGTATATATCATGACTCGTAATGTATAACAGTGACTTATTGTTTGAACCCTTGAAAAGAGAGTACAAAGAGAAGTGATAGTCACTGGAGGAGTTGTACACCGAAATACAAAACCGACCAATAGGACGAATGGTCTGAAATGCATTCCACGAGAATTATAAAAAATGTACGTTATTTATAAAATATTATTCTAACGAACTTATGATAAGTGATAGTCAGGAGAAGGTTCAGCTACAGATTCCGTAGTGAACAAGGGATTTGGGAACTCTGGTGGGTGTGGCAGTGGTCCAGCAGTCTTTGGCTGACGTCGATACGCCATAAGCCAGCATGACACAGCAATAGCTACGGCAACCAACGCCAAAAGTGCCGTAATTATTAACGCTATGATAAAGCCGACCATAGAAACACAGATATCTTCCACTCTTTGTGCTGAAGGAGCTGAAAGGTATCACAAATGATTACTTCTTTTATTTTAATACGCATAAGAATCACCATAAAAGGTGGTAGCTTTTATCTAGTCATAGGTCTAGATAATTTATGAATTAATTTTTAAACGATTGTAATTTTTTTTAAAGAGTAATGGTAAATTATTTCAAGACACTTGTATTTCAAATCACCACCTTTTACAATATTTTTTTACACGTGTTATGCCTTACCTTCAGCTGGATCTGCTGTGTACCTCTCCTCTCTCCTTTCCAGAGTGAATATTAAGTTCGATTGAATAGTTATTTCTTCACGAAGTTGACCTTCATATCCATCGGATACACTTAGAGATGTATCGTTAATCTCGGAATCAACGTCTCTACGACGACGGCCAAAGGCATTATAACCGCGACAGTTTACCTGATAGAAGAAATATATTTTTATTGTCAAAGCTGGCATTTCAGCTAATGTTGAAATATATATAAAATGATTACAAGTTTCGAGTACTCACAGGTTGACAGCGTCCGAAGCACACGCGTATATTGCACTGAAATCTTATATTGTCACTGCTAGGGAACTTGAATGCATTAAAACTAGCCATTAATGATTGAGTATCAGGATTTTGCTCCCATTCTCCGAATATCGTGGGATCTGTCGCACAGCCATTTTCATCCGTTACGATGTACTCGTTCTCTAAATTATCTTCCATCGTTTTAGCGACGCAATTTCGCGCAAATCCACCGTAAATAGCTGCAATATATTATTATTTATTCTCATATTTTACAGCAGGATTAAGTTGATGTTCAAATAATTGAAATTACACACAAAATATTATTAAAAATAAAGTACGGTACTTACTTGAAGGTTGAACTTCCACTTGAAGCATTAAATTATCTCCAATTTCGGCAGAATTAATTTCATTTCCATTCTGTGCAACTATTTTCATTACGCATATAGGAGGTGGACCAGTGTTAGCGATTGTTCCAGCAGTCGTCAGCATGGAGACGTTAAAACCAAGGGTAACATTTTGTTCTCCAGTTTGATATATACATTTAATATGATAAGCTTGTGCCTTGTAAGTCATCAATTTTGGATGTTTCTGTATAACGAGTACAAAGCTAGCTTGTCCCTAAAAAGTGAATCAAGATAATGTAAATATCTTTTGATGCAACAAGTCATTGCAGTTATGATACACAATGTTATTCAACTAACATTCACATGTATGAGTCCGCAATTGCCAAATGCAACTTTAAACGTTTCGGTTTTATGATCAGTTTCGGCCGGTATCGAGACAACTCGTCTGCATTGTTCATCTTTGCTACGACCTTTAACGTACAAGACCCCGTCGAAGTCTTGATCTTGCAAATGTATTACGACTTGTACTCCATCTGATAGACAACTTACATCCATTTCCGGTCTAGGGAAATCTGTTCGACCATCCTTTCTGTCGTCTAAAAGATAGGAAACATAAGCATTAAAAGAATTTTTCAGAAAGTTACTCCATACCGATTAACTTATTATTATTTATAAAAGATATAATTCATGAAAAAAAAATAGTACGTTTTAAAAATCTAATGTTCTAAAAGCTTATATATGTAAAATCTTCTAAATTATTGTAAATTATCGAGACTACGCATTTATTTTCACAAATTTTCAACGTACAGCATTGAGTGTATGGATTGCCCAAATAGCCATTAACGCAGATACAGATAGCTTGATGCCTGGTAGCGTTACAAAGTGCGTGCACGCCACATTGTTGCTTCTTACAAGGATCTTGGCAAGTATGAGTGACTTTATCGCAGTATCTGTCGTCGGCGCAGTCGTCATTATGTCTGCACTCGATTACACCAACTAAAATTACCGCGATGATAGATTAGTGAAACGAGGAATCGTAAAACATCTCTTGATCGATATAAGAAATTGACTAGCTTACTTTGTCTACAATATCCTTTGGTATCTATTTCATATCCATATCGCGTCGGACAAACACAACGACCATATTCATCTATGCTGAAACCCTTTTCTAAGTCGCACACGCAATAGCCTTCTTCGTTTATCACCATATTAGATTGTTTGCGACAAGGTATGCAGACGTCGTTTGCGTCCTTACCGAATCCAGGCGGGCAGATGCAATTGCCGTATTCATCGCGAATCTGTCCTTTCCCGATTGGGCAGATTTCCGCTGGAATTTGATCACAGCGGATAATCGCGTTTCCACGATACCCTGGGAGACATTCGCATATCATGGTCCTGATTGGGCTGGTATCCAGAACTTTGCATTCAGCGTTAATACCGCACGGTGCGATCTTAGTGCACGGATTAATGCACTGTCCGTTGAAGCATGCAGTTTGGGAAGGACATTCATTGTCTGCTTTGCACTTTTCCTTAACTACAAGAAGATCCAGCAATAAATTAAAACTGAAAAACTAATTATGTACATATATTAATTTCAACAAAGCTGAAATAGATCTTTTTTTTACCCTTAGTACAGCCTGACTTAATGTCGCCGATGTAACCAGATGGACACACACATTCCACAATGTGATTATAAACATTGCAGTCCATATTACCAGTGCATGGATTCTGTACACAGGGATTTTCACAGCGATTATTAATACAAGCCTTATTGGTAGGACAATCGGAATTAGTCCTGCATCCTAACAGGACGCAGGAGACCCGCGGATTGCCACCAAAACCTGGTGGACACTCGCAGATAGCCTTATGATGGATGCCGTGACATACGGCGTTCTTGCCGCAAGAGGTCAAGGATGGCGAGCACGCTGGTACGCAATTGCGTTGGACACACACGTGTGAACCGCTGCAATCGTTGTCCGTTTTGCATCCTGCAACTAAATATCAAAATACAAAAAATATATAGCATTAGAAAATATAACTCTTTATTAACGTAAAACTTCGCTCTTAAGCGAAGAGGAAAAGTTGTAATGGCTTTGTCTAAACAAAAAAGTACCTCTTGTACAAAGAATATCCGGATTTCCGTCATATCCTAGCGTGCACGAACATATCGGCTTATGATTGATGACATTGCAAACCGCGTTAGGTCCGCACGCGCAAGGATCCTTACAAATCGCGTTCACGCAGGAGCGTTCCGAAGGACAATCATCATCCTTGGTACATTCGATTTTGAGAATCGGTGTGGTAGCCTGACAAGTACCACTGCCGCTGCTGACGTATCCGCTAGGGCATACGCATACCATGGTACGTATCGGATGCGTCGGTAGAACCCGACACTCAGATGGCTCAGTGCATGGTTGTATGATCGGGCATGGAATCTGGCATTTGTTATTCAAACAAGCAAGTGAATCCGGACAGTCACTGTCCTCTCTGCACTCAGGTCTAACTTCTGGTTGGCAATTGATGTACGGATTTCCGGTGAAGCCCGATGGACAGCGGCATATCGGCAAGTGATTTAGGACTTTACATTCCGCACGAGGCGAGCAGGGATTGTCATGGATGCAAGGATCGATACATTGCATGTTGATGCACGAGTGATCGCCTGGACAGTCGCCGTTACTAAAGCAACCGATCACGCGGCAGCGATCCAAGGGATTACCATGATAGCCCTTACGGCAACGACAGTCGGCTACGTGATTGTTCGGGAAGCACTCGGCGTTGGTACCGCATAGATCTGTGACCAAGCATGGGTTCACACAGTTATTATTCTTGCAAGTCTTATCGAGCGTGCACTGACTGTCGTGCTGGCACTCGACGGAATGACAGGCGATCTCGGGATTGCCCTGATAGCCCTGCTCGCACGAGCAGATTGGTTTATGATTCTTTACATAGCAAGCCGCATTAGTACCGCAATTGCAGGGATTGCGACATTGCCTGTTAATACACGTCTCACGATCACTGCAATCGTCGTTCGTCGTACACGTTCCAATGACTGTCAATTGTACTATAACATTAAAATAATTTATGAATAACCAATTATTATTTTCAAACAATATATTGTTTTTTAATTGATCGATTCAAATAATATTTAGCTTTGCTTACTTGGCCTGCAAACACCGTCGATATCGGTGATCCAACCCTCAGGACAGGTGCAAATCATGGTCCTTACGGGTACCGTATCGAGAACATCACAACGAGCGTTTTCGAGACATGGTTTTATGACCGGGCAAGGATCGATGCATTTCTCCCGAATGCACACCAACTTGTCTAAACAATCGATGTCGACTTTGCATTCAGGCTCCTCGATTTCCACTGCGGTATGCCGCTCGCAATAAGAGAATGGATTTCCCAGCGGAATGTTTTCAGGGCAACGGCAGGATGCAATGTGATCTTGGACGTAACAAACCGCATTCTGCGCGCAAAGTGAATTCTCGGCGCATGGATTTATACAGCGACCGTCGTTGCAAGCCAAATTATGGGGACAATCATGGTCGGTATTACACTCAACTCTTTCACAATGAGTCTGCGGATTGCCGTAGTAACCCGGGCCGCAACGACAAGCCGACCGATGATTCTTGCCATAGCATTCCGCGTTGATGGCGCATTTGTTGTCCAAGATACAAGGATTCACGCATTGGCCATTATAGCAGGTAGCTGCGTAGTCACACTCGCTGTCAGATTCACAATCAACTGAAATAGACAATCGCGATTAGAAATACATTAAAAATTATGAGATTTTTTTTGTAATTCTTCTGGAATAATGTTCTGTTAATAAGACAATTAAGTCGCGCCATTAATAATAAGATGTAGTTGCAATTATAATAATTCATATACTGTAAACATATTATAAACATATTAACATATAATAATCTTAAAAACTGCAAATCATTTATTGCTTTAATAATAAATTATTTGCAGTTTTTTTAAGATTTTTATTAACATTAAATTATTAATATTCTTACAAAATGCTTATTAGCATTAATTATATTATTAAATTACTTGTCTTTAATATGATACTACTACTCTAGTTTTGTTCAAGCTGTGTTTCAAGATCGAAAAAGATTTTGGCGCGCGGTTTGCCAAATTAGATATATAAATGTATATAAATTCGTATCGAAATATTTAAACGCTAAGATCCGCTTTGACCGATAATAAGATTTCTCTTACTTAATTAAATTTATTCTCATCGATTCGATTTAAAACTATTATAATTAAGATATAAATTTCACTCGCTGTATAAAAAGAATAGAATAAAATAAGAATAGAGTAAATGCTACTTACGTTTAAAACATCCTAATTGAGGATTTCCAGAATAGCCTGGAGGACATACACAAGAAGGATAATGATTTATGACATTACATTTGGCATTGGGTCCACAGTTGCAAGGATTAATGCACATGTCGTTGACACACGCATAATTTCCTGCGCACTCGCTGTTTGATACGCATTCAGGCGTAATTTCCGCTGTAGTCGAAAATATCGTAATATGAGATAAAATTGTACAATTTCTTCAAAATATACTCTTTATTCGTAATAATGCTTACGTGGTATGCACTTGGTTTTAGGATCGCCGATATAGCCAATCGGGCATTTGCAAATCGGATTATGATTATCAACATGGCACAGAGAACTCTTGCCGCATGGATCACTAGCAACACACGGATTTACGCAAAGCGAATTTATGCATTGCTTGTCGCGCGCACATTCACTATTTGTGTAACATTCTGGTCGAGGTCCTGGTAATGGAACAACTGGAACTGCAACAGAAATTATATCAATGCATATTTTATATTTATATATATATATTCTAGGAAATAAAAGATGACAATAATTGCGAAACGCTTCAATTTATAATTAGTAAAATTTCTGCATTTATATACCTCTTATGCATTCTATGTAGGCATTGCCAGTAAAGTCCTGAGAACAGAAACAGATACCCGTGTGAGACGTGGATTTACATTGCGCGTTAAAACCGCACTGAGTTGTCAAACAGGCATCGACGCATTTTCCATCCAGACATGTCTCGTAGTTGGCGCAATCTTGATCTAAATGACATTGTACGTCGCCCAACACTGCAATGCATCCATATTAAACAAGTTATGGAATAATAATACAAAATGTTATACATTTCGTATAAGATTGACACGTACCAATCTGCTTGCACTGGCCATTAACATCAGTGATAGTATTTGGTGGACACAAACAGATCATTGTACGAAGTGGTTCCGTGTTCAGGACTTTGCACACCTGTTCACTGGTGCACATACCAGCGGATATACATGGATCTTGACATTTGTTATTAATACAAGCGAGATTCAATGCGCATTCATTATCCTGCGTGCATTCTGGCTCAATAGAAGGTTCACCTAGGAATCACACAAATATATCAGATAGAACTCTTTAAAATTATCTTTGTTATAGACCAATTTTAAATAAATTTTTCTTCAATAAAGTTAACAACAAAGTAACAACTCAACATACCAATGCATGTTACATAGGGATTTCCGGTGGTACCTAGAGGACATGTGCACTTCGGCTGATGATTGCGCGCGACACAAATTGCAGTTTCGCCACATGCATCGTCGTTACAAACCGGTCTGCAAATTCTATTCAATCTGTCACAGGCTTCGTGATCAGCGCAATCTTCATTGTAATGGCAGATCGCAGAAATACATGCCACACGTGGGTCGCCTTGAGTACCTTGCGGACAGATACATTGGGCTCTATGAGATACCGCTCTGCATTCTGCATTCCGACCACACACAATATCACCAATGAGACATGGAGAGACGCAATTATCGTTGCGGCAGGTTTTATCATAAGGACAATCATTGTCTGTCTTACATTCCGCTGAAAGAAAAGAGATAAATAGAAACGAATAAGTGCTACATATCCAAATAAAAATTTTTTAGATTAATTTTCAACATATTTGAGATCTTTTGTCATTAAGATGCACTAGAGACTTACTGTTGTTCTTTTAAAAAATCAAAGAAAATGATTATTTCAATTATTTTAAAGTTTATAAATACATTTTTTATAGCAATGTGACAATTTTTAGAATCTATAAGAAACTTACGTCTGAAACATTGAGCTTGTGGATCACCGGCTAAACCATGTTGGCAATGACAAGAAGGATGATGATTAATCGTGATGCATTCGGCATTTAGACCACAACGATTGCTGGAGCACGGATCTTGGCACAATTGATTTATGCACGCTTTGTCGGATGGACATTCAGTATTTATTCTGCATTCCGCAAGAACTATATTTTCTGTAAAAGGCAGAGATATAAAATACATATGATCGCTTACATTGAGGAATGAAAAAAAGTATACAGTACCTTCATAGCAATTTATGAATGGATCACCGACATATCCGTGGGGACACTGACACATACGGCGATGATTTTCGATATGACATTCCGCATTTGGTGAGCATGGATTAACGGTGCATGGATTGATGCATCGACGGTTTAGACAGGCCATGTCTGGTGTACATTGTGAATCACTCTCGCATACCGCAGCAATTTGTTTGTCCACTGCAAATACACAAAATATTCGTAATTCAGTTATCAATATTTTACCGTATACAGTTAATTGAATTAATTTTATTTGAAAATTTCGATTATTTAAAAAATATATTAGGTGTTGGAATTAATTCGTAGCGTTTTTTAATGAAAGAATGTTATTTATTTCACATGAGCATTAAAAAATACATTAATGAAAGTACTTCCCATCACTTGTAAAACGCTACGAATTAATTCCAACACCTAATATATAATTTATTTTATTTAGATGTTTTTCTATAATAATGTATATTTGTTTGGATAAAATGTATATATGTATAATATATACATATATTTGTTTGATAATGTATATATGTATATTTGTTTGGAAAAGTTTACCTGGTACGCAAGCAACGGTGGCATCACCAGCAAAATTTGGCAGACATTCGCAAATCATTGTTCTCATTGGTAAAGTATCTACAATGCTACATTTAGCATTAACGATGCATGGTTTTGTTTCTGTACATGGATCTTTGCAAATGCCATTGAAACATGCTAATTTGCTAGGACAGTCGGCATCGACTTGACATTCGGTCTTTGGTTCTAACAGATCTAAAATAACAATACATATTATATAAGCATATTATCAAATTATAACTAATTGTTACTTTACAAATTTTTTTACAGCATCTAATTTAAATTATCACTTATTAAATATACTTTCTCAATTTTACTAGCAATAATTTAATGATATAAGGCTCTCTATATAATCATATTTCTCATTCTATTGAATACATAATTGCATATATGTGGTAGCGATTATCTTTACTTAATTTAATATACTTCTAATATATTTTACAAATATATTTATAAACCTAATATTAAAATAGATTCTTACCCATGAGACACGAAGTGTAAGGATTACCCACGTAACCAGGTGGACATTTACATACTGGCCGATGATTGACAACATTGCACAATGCTGGTGGTGGACAGTTACAAGGATTGACGCATCTTAAGTTGCGACAGGCCAAAGATGGAGCACAATCATTGTCGCTAGTGCATTCAGGTCTTTCGCATATTTCGTAAGGATTACCCGTATATCCATCAGGACAATAGCATCGAGTTTTATGATACCCATCAGCAGTACACATTGCATTAATACCGCACTGTGTAACCAGGCAGGTATCAATACATTCGTTGTTAATGCAAGATTGAATTAATGAGCATTCGCTATCACTACGACAACCGACTGTAAAAAAAATATTAATAAAGTTGATGTGCATTACATAACTAAAAGATATATCAGTTAAAT